ATAACTATTTATTTTATTATTTATTTATTCATTCATTGATTTTTTAATTTGACCAGAGAGAGACAGAGGGTGAGAGTGAGAGAGAGAGAAAGCAAGCCACCAGATTCAGGACTTGAACCCTGGTCAGCCATGTGGGAGTGTCCAGCGCCTTAACCACCACGCCACCTGCTGGTCCCACCAGTACATATTTCTTAATTTTGTCCTCTGAAGAGATCTAGAGGCAATGACAACCTAAGCAATGACATGTGGTTTTATAAGAAAATGTCTATTTTTAAAGAGATGCATACAAAAAGTTTATAGAAATAAAAGGGCAAGATGTAGGGTCCACCAGTGGCATAGTGGTTAAGGTGGTTGGATCCCATACGGCTGGCCATGTAGTTTGAAACCTGGACGCAGAGACTTCAAAAACATGCCAGGATGGCAGGTGGCATGATGCTTAAGGCGCTGGACTCCCACATGGCTGATTGTGGTTCCAGTCGTGGACCTGGTGGCTTGACTTCTTGCTTGCTTTCTCTCTGTCTCTTGCTGATCAAATTAAAAAGCAGTAACAAATTATTGACAATAAAATGTATGATTAAGCCACTATGCACTGTATTCTGGATAGGAAATCACATTTTGTGTGTTGTGATGATGCTCAGTGAATGAATATAAAATAAATTACAAAGTATAAAAAAAATAAATTAATTAAAGAAATAATTCTTTAAAAAAAAGAAAGAAAGAAAAGAAACACACACCAGGAATGGAAGCCCAAAATCCAAGAGAATGAAGGAGAAAGGATTATGGTATAGACATACCCCCTTCAGAGTGCTTTCTCACTCTCTCTCTGAGGAGTGCGCTGGCCCTGAAGCATATAGCAAATCTTTAAAAAATTGCAAGATGTCTGAAATATTCTCAAGGGGGCCAGCAGATGGCACAATGGTTACGTTGCTGGACTCACATAGTTTACTGTGGTTTGAGTCCCAGACCCACCAACTTGAAGCTCACACCGGGCACGTGTGCACACGTGCCCAAGATCCCGAATGGAGAAGAGACTGCGGCATAGTCATCCCCTGCTGGGGGGTGATTTCTTGCTTTCTGTCTCTCTGGTGAGCATATGCACTCTATAGCAAAAATCTCTCTCTAAAAAAATACATATACAATATATATACATATCTATTATATATATATATATATATGTGTGTGTTTGTGTATATATATTCTCAAGGAAAAAAAGAGGCTAGATGAAACAAATGTGACAAAATCTTGATTATTCTTAAATCTGGTGGGTACATGGAACTCTACTGCATTATGCTCTGTACATATATTTGAAATTTTTCATATTATTTTTAATGAACTGTGCAAGATTGATGTTAGGAATTTTAAAAAGTGATCAAAAAGGATTTTCGGGGACCAGCAGTTAGGACAATGGCTGTCGCTGGACTCCCATTGTAGTCTACTGCGGTTTGAGTACTGGACCCGGTGGCTTAAACTCACGCCAGGCGCGTGTGCGTGCATGCCCAAGATCCCGAGAGGAGGAGAATGGAAGAGAAGGGATTGCGGCATGGCCATCCCCCCTGGATGATTTCTCGCTTTCTGTCCCTGTCTGTCGGGCGAGCGCAGGCCCCCTATAGCAAAAATCTCTCCCCCCCAAAAAAAAAAAAAAGAATTTTCGAGGTTTGGTGTTTGTTTTATTTTCTTGTTTTTGGTCCAAAGGGTTGACTTAGCCATGGTCTGTCTTTCCTGACAGGGAATGGGACACGATTCAAGGATAGGGGCCCATTCTACTCCACGCCAGAGCTCCCCGGGCCAATGAGCAAGCAGCACATACATACCCAAAGCCTGGGCTCTCTCTGGGGACCTGCTATCTTACCCAGACCTTTGAATTACCTTTATTGAGGACCGTGAGAGGCTTCCGGCTGCTGGGGTCCAGACTGCTGGGGGCAATTGAAAACCTTGGTGGAATGGTGAGGCAGGTAATGGGGAGCCTGGCAGGGATGTAGCCAGAAGTAAAGAACTCTTCGTTAAGCAGCTCATTAATGGTTGGGCGGGCAGTGGGATCCGTCTGAAGCATCTTCTGGATAAGGGAGGCGGCCACGGGGTTGATGTGCTGGGAGCAGAGGGAGGGAAAGCCATAAGCAGGACATGAATGGGACCCCGAGTGCAGCACTGCTGTTAAAGAACTGTACTTGGGCCTACACACAACCCCCAGTCTCAAATACGCCATGGTCTGATGGCTATAAACAAGGCCAAGTTCTCTACTGCTGGCTTTATTGAGTTGACCAGTGTTATAATTTTTTCTTCCTCTTGAAACTCAAAATTAATTTGGCGCAGGTAATTTTTTTCACTAAATTTGCCCGCGCACAGTTAAAGTTGCTCACCACTAGAAAAGAACCTGAGAATATAGACTTTGAGGTCCTAAAGACCTGGGTTTAAATCTTAGTTCTGCCCTTTAATACCAGCTGCAAGTAATCCTGACTTCCTAGGGCCTTTGTATCCACTGTAATACGGGGATGTTGCACCAAGTTTGAAGCTCTATTAAGGAGACCCAATGGGATGTGACCTAATACAGGGCAGATGCATAGTCACCATCTAGCATTAACTCTGCATTTAGTACGTACCAGGAGCTCAGTTGACCCTCGCAAAAACATGTAAAGGACAGGATCTCTGCTCTTATCCCTCTTCAGCAGATTAAAAGAAATTGACGCAGAGAGAGTTAAATGTTTTGCCTAAGAACACACACCTAGTAAGGGGAGGAACCAGGGCTCACTCCCAATTCTGAACCACTCCATGCCTCTCTCTCTGACAGAGACATATTTACTCTATTTTTCCTGGTGGAGACAGGGATCTTGGCTTCATGAGTCAGGGACACCAAACTAGAAATAAGCCACAAAGTAGGCTTCTGCAGGCACGGGCTATTCTTTTAATGCATTTATGCTAGTGGCTGCAAAAAAAGGTTCCACACTGCCACTGATAAGCCCTTGGATTCCCAGTGGTCCATGATTCTGTGGGTACTCCCTGTATGCAAGGTACCTGTGGGGTACTCCAAGGCAGTAACTCCATTCGACAGTTCAGTCCATCTGCCCAAGATGGACTAATTGGCAGATCCATTTGAATTAAGACTGTCCATTTCTGAGGTATAATCACTTCAGTTTCCTACTCCCTCCCATTTCCCCGTTTTTTACACATCTTTTTGGTTATCTACCCAATGTTCAATAATTTGTAAACTTTTTCCCCCTAGAAAAATGCTTTGTGTACATATGCCTCAATTTTCTATGAAATTTCAGACACAGACCCTCAAAAGCTATGGGATGGACCTATCTCTATCCCAGGACATAGTGGGGCTCAGTAAATAGCTGGTGAAGGAAAAATAAAAAATTTAAACTGAAAACTTAAAAGTGTTATCAAGAGCCAGTGGGTGGCATGATAGTTCGGCTGCTAGAGTTACACATGGCCATCCATGGTTTGAGTCTCGGACCAGGTAGCTTGCTTTCTCTCGTGAACGTACATGCCCTATAGAAAATTAATGATAATAAAAAATAAAATAAATCTTTCTTAAAAATAAATAAAAGTGTTATCAGTCACCTTGGGAATACTGTATTCGTTCTTCTTGATCCGGAGGTAGGTCTCTTTTAGGCAAGAGGTCTCAAAAGGCGGTTTGCCCACTAACAAGGTATACCTGTAAGTACAAGGTGAGATTTGGCTCAGTGCTCTCATTCAAAGCCCAGGCACAGGAAGAACCATTTCAGGGCTAGGCCAAAGGGTAGGTACTACTCTGACTGTGGGGTACCTGAAGACTGTCTCCAAGTCTGCTTAGCAGCCCCAGAAGCCAGAACACTGGCTGGGATGAGCCCTTGGTAGAACACTGGCTGGGATGAGCCCTTGGTAGAACACAGGCGATGAGACCAGGATGCTTACGGAGTAGCAAATTTTCAGCTACAGCCTGTCGTATCCAAGGACTCTGCAAGAGCTTCAGCGGTTGCCAACCATACAAAGCAAGCTAAAGGGGGTGGACTACCTGCTCTACATTCAGTGACTCTGTACTAAGGCCTGAAGTATTCATCTGGGGAAAAAATAGCCCCATTGCAAAGAAGTATGAAAACCATTGCTACGACTCACATCTAACTATCCAGTACCCATGCCAACAATAACAGAAAAGGTAACGCCTGCAAAGGCAAAGATAACCTCTGCCTGCCACCACTCCCTCTTTTGGTCTTGATTCAAACAGATCATAGGCACCTGCTCCTGCCAACCATAACTCCTGGCCTAATTTTCCTACCCAATGCTCATCGGTGTTTCTGAAACTTTACTGTGCACTGCAATCACGTTACAATACTGTTAAAATCCAGATTCTGGCCCAGTAAGTAGTTTGGGTCCTGAGATTCTGTGTTTCTAACAAGTTCCCAGGTGACAATGTCGCTGGTATGCAAGACTTGGAGAAGCAAAAGGCTAGAAAAAGAAGGTTGTAGAGACCTTCCCTCCCCCTTGTTGGACCCACAGTCCTGAATGTAGGAATCTTACAGGACACAGCAGAGTGACAAGCAAAGTTTTGAAAGCTAGGCTTTGTTTTGGAAGTAATCTGTAGACTTTTTGTAAGGGAGAAAGGACTACAGAATAAAGTCAGCCAGTTGAGGTGTCCCACAGGGCCACTGCTGAGGCTGGGTAGGTCTTGATTCAACTGCCAACTTACATGATGCACCCAATGGACCACACATCCACCTCGAAACTGTGCCCTTTCTTGCTCAGCACCTCAGGAGCTATGTAATTAGGAGTCCCGCACAGGGTCTTCTTCCGCTCCCCATCATATTCGACTTTGGTTGCCAATCCAAAATCCCCTGGGACAGAGGGAGGAAGAGGGGATACTCAATGCAGATGGCTGGTTCAGGCTTGCGCATCAAGAACCAGGAACAGTAGATGACACGTGTGTGCAACAAGGCTTGTCCAGGAATCCTTCCACCATGCTGGCCCCAGGGAGGGGCCCTCCAGTGATCCTTTCCTCACCTCTCCTTAGAAAGGAGGGTTACACTTCTAAAAGAAAATTGATTGGAGCAGGAAAAGTCAGATGCTTTCAAGGATCAAGCAAATACCCTCCAAGACTGCTACATGGCAAGTCTGAAGAATAGGAAGAGATGAGGACCAAGGAAAACCAGAGGAAGTCTAAAGGGGACAGCTGCTTTTCAGCCCAGCAAATAGCTACCCTAAGGGAATGCTGTCACTATACTGCTGGAATTTCTGCCTAAAAGAAATTTTATGCTAAGCCTCCCAATTTAAAAAAAAGGAAACAAGTATAAAAATTTTTAAAAAAGAAAATACTGTTTGGACATAAAAGTAACTATCTGCTGGGATCAGCAGTTGGCACAATGGCTATGTCGTTGGACTCCCATGTAGTCAACTGCAGTTTGAGTCCTGGACCCGGTGGCTTAAACTCACGCCAGGTGCATGTGCGTGCATGCCCAAGATCCTGAGAGGAGATCTCTGTCTCCGTCTTTCTGGCAAGCACACGCCCCCTATAGCAAAAACCTCTCCAAAAAAAAAAAAAAAATCTATCTGCAGGCAAAATACTAGCTAGTGAGCTCTTTGTTTTATGTTTCTGTACTAAGAAGAGAAGCCTAGAGGCAATCAACAACCCAGACTCCCCACCATACCTTCCCTCCCTCACGTGTCCTTCCTATTTCCTTCCTTCTCTCCTGTTGTAGTGGGTTCAAGTTCCCCCGCAAGCCAGAACCTTACCTATTTTCACCTCCAGATCCTCATTCAGAAAGAGGTTACCCAGCTTGAGGTCCCGGTGAATAACCCGGTTCCTGTGCAGGTACTGGCATCCAAGAACGATCTGCCGCAAGTAGTAGCGGGCCTCCGGCTCCGTCAGAGCTTTCCTCCTCTTGTGCAGCTCCAGGAGAGACTGGGGAGTCCAGGGAGGAATGGAGAAGGTATTAGACAAGGCAGCCCAAGGCTGTACCATGGACCCTCAGGGGGACTTTAGGGGGGCCTTCCCACTCCCCCAATTCCTTCTCCAGGACATATGCGATCGGGATACTGCAGCAACACTGGCCACAAGCACTGACAGCCCTCTCCTATTGGCTCCCTTCCTTACCGCCTCGGAAATTCGCAATCTTTAGTATCAGCACCTAGGGCTTCCCAGCCGCAGATCCTCTCCTACTACTCTCTTCTCCGGAAGCTCCTAAGTCAGGCTCTAACCACCCATACCCAGGCCTCATCTCACTCCGGAAGCTCAGGGCCACAGCACTCCTAACCTGGGACTCCTCCCTTGGCACTGCGGGGCTCCAGCGTCCATTACCAGTTCCTACTCCCCTCCCCCGCACCTCGCGTCCAGGAGCCTTTCCTAGCAGCAACTTGACTCGACCTCACTCAACGGGAACCTCTTCCGTCCCCTAGCAGCTTCAAGTGCCAAGCCCCCTACTAAAGGCCTTTTCCAACCCTAGCTTGAGGTTCCCAGCACCCTCTCCTGGAAACTCATACCCAGCTGCTTCGGGTCCGGGTGTCCCAACCCCGGCCTCTAGGCTGCTCCAGTGTCCTGCAGCGACACTCACCCTCCGGCGACAAAGTTCCAACACCACGAAGACGAAGTCGTTGTCCTCGAAAAAGCCGTGGAAGCCCACGACGTGCTGGTGGGCGAGGCTGCGGTGAATGGAAATCTCCATGGACATCTTCTCCTTCTGGTGCGGCTTTAGCAGCAGAGACTTAGGCACGATCTTGCCTGCGAACACCTCCTTGGTGTCTGCGTCGGAGATCTCGAAGCACTTGGCGAAGCCTCCTTTGCCCAAAAAGCGACCCCGCACATAGCGGCGCCGGCTACGCGGGTCCACTAGGACCTCTGGGATCTCTTTCGCCGGGGGAGCGGCCGCGGGGGCCACGGGAGCCGCCACTCCGGGGGGCCGGTCCCCGCGCCAGCTTCCCTGCAGTTGCCGCCGCACTCATGCTCTCAGAGTTGCTCGGCGGGCCTGGCAGGGACCGGGTAGAGCCTCCGCACAGCTCCGCTCCTCCCCGAATTCAAACTCCGCGCTGGGAACGTTATAAAAGCCTGCGCGCCACTGATTGGCCGCGGGGATTTAAAATCCAAACCCGCCCGCCGCGCGGCACCATGGGAGTGCTCTGCACGCAGCCGCCTTTAAACCCTTACTCAGCCTGCGAAAAAAACTTGATTGACAGGGACGCACGGACAGCAGACACGTGCGGTATCCTGGGAATTCACGCCCTTGGCATCTCACCGAGACCCAGCCCCAGAAAAGGGGGAATGCGTTCAGGGTTCCTCCCAGTCTTGCGCAGCGCGCAGTTCACCTGCACCTCTCCAGGAAGCTTTCCCTAACACCCTCCCTCCTCTCTCACCCCGCCTCCTAGACCATAAACTCTGAGCAGAGACCCGGTAGCGCCAAGAGGCAGCTTAGGAGAGCCTTAGCACCCACCAACGAAGTCGTCAACTCTCTGCCAAACCATTCAAATAAACTAGAATATAACTAAAACTAGGTTGCTTGTAGGCAAATGCACCTTGATGTCAGGTCCTGAGCCCCTCTGTATTCCAAAGATTACTCAAAGTATGGCCCAGGAATATGCAGTATCACCATCACCTGAGAGCTTGTTAGAGGGGCAGAGGCAAACTTTCAGGCCCAAAGGTCAGCCAGGTGATCTCTTAACTGAAGTCTGAGGAACAGGGTACCAGAGCCTCCCAGGCTGCTAAAATAAATAAGCTGTCTGATCTGCTCCCTGCTGTATTTTCTAGTACACAGGTCAATACACTTTTTTTTTTTTTTTTAATCAGAAGGAGGGGTAGCTGATTGGAAGAATATAACAAACTGGCAAGTCACAACCAAATCCTTCATGCAGGGGTATTTTGTTTGGCTTCGTTTTAAAAATTCCAATTCATTTACAGCATTTAAAAAGACAGTTCATACAAAAGTTCAGATTTGTGACTTTTCCTGAAAAACTCAACTGTAAATTACCCCCTCTGCCATTTGACTGAGTTCTGTACGAACTTGAGTGGTGGGGCCGGCAGGTGGTATGGTGGTTGGGACACCAAACTCCCACATGGCTGATCTCAAACCTGGTGGCTTGCTTTCTCACTTTCCCTCTCTCTGGTCAAATTTAAAAAATAAATAAATAAATAAATAAATAAAATAATTCTTAAAAAAAAAAAGAACTTGAGTAGCAGCTCTAGATGGCAAAATACACAAGATGGAAGCCCTTTTCCCTGTGCCTTCTTAGTGCCCTTGATGACATCTGCAAAAATCACCATGTTATAAGTATCTCTGCCTACCTCCTAATTAAGCTGAGAGACAATGACAACAGTGATGCTCTTTTCTATTTATGTTCCAAATTCCTAGCACAATGCTCTAGAAATAAGGGGTATTAGTAAATGTTTGCTGAATAAAGGATACTCTCTAATCGTTACTATTTTTATCTCTATGTTGTGTTACCTTCTGTTTTAAATTATTGAAATTGAATATATTTACAGAAAGAAGTACATATCATAATTGTACAGTTCACTGAACTTCCACAAACTGAACATACACCCATGTAAACACCATCCAAATTCAGAAAGAGAACACTACCAACAGCCCAGAAGTCCCTCTTATGTTTTTCATTCATATATCCATTTTTTTTGGGAAGCAAGATGCCCTGTGCCAACTCTTCTCACGTTAGGGTCTGAGTCAGAGCGCATAATGAAAGTGGGGGGACCAACTTGCCAGTGAGAATTTGGGAAAGCAAAGAATTAACTGTGTGAGCAGCAAGGATAGTGCACAGCGCTAACTGGATTGGAGCACAAGATACTGGAAGAGCTGACTAAAACATGGACCTTGTAGCCAAGTAAGAGTTGGCTTGGACTCTAGTCCAACCCTTTATTAGATATGTGATGTTGGCCGAATTTGCTTTAACTCTCTAGATATCGATTTCATCTGTAAAATAGGCTGAAAAAAAAAAGACTATACTTTTTGACAGTTGGGAGGATTAAACATTTTCTAATTAATATCTGGCATTCCATAGATGCAAAACAAAGAATAATTTCTCCAACTTTTCTTTGTGGCAGACTGATTATAAAGCCAAAGATTTATTATTATTATTTTTGAGAGATATTTGCTATAGGGCTCATGCGCTTGCCAGAGGGACAGAGAAACAGAACAAGAGAACCCCCCCCCTCCAGGGGGGATGGCCACCCCACAATCCCTTCTTCTCCATTCTCCTCTCAGGATCTTGGGCACACATGTACACATGCCTGGCATGAGTTTTAAGCTACCTGGTCTGGGACTCAAACCACGGTCGACTACATGTGAGTCCAGTGATGTAATCATTATGCCACCTGCTGGTTCCAGATGTTCTTTTATTTCAAAATTTAAAAATGTGTAAGGGGCCAGCCTCATAGTGCAGCAGTTAAGCCCTGTACATAGATAGCCCCGGGAACCTCATCCCCAGCTGCTCCGGGTCCGGGTGTCCCAACCCCGGCCTCTAGGCTGCTCCAGTGTCCTGCAGCGACACTCACCCTCCGGCGACAAAGTTCCAACACCACGAAGACGAAGTCGTTGTCCTCGAAAAAGCCGTGGAAGCCCACGACGTGCTGGTGGGCGAGGCTGCGGTGAATGGAAATCTCCATGGACATCTTCTCCTTCTGGTGCGGCTTTAGCAGCAGAGACTTAGGCACGATCTTGCCTGCGAACACCTCCTTGGTGTCTGCGTATCTCATCTCGAAGCACTTGGCGAAGCCTCCTTTGCCCAAAAAGCGACCCCGCACATAGCGGCGCCGGCTACGCGGGGCCACTAGCTGGGATCTCTTTCGCCGGGGGAGCGGCCGCGGGGGCCACGGGAGCCGCCACTCCGGGGACCCCTGCTTTCCCAGGGTCGGCCGGTGCCCGCGCCAGCTTCCCTGCAGTTGCCGCCGCACTCATGCTCTCAGAGTTGCTCCGCGGGGCCCCACTCTGGGGACCCCTGCTTTCCCAGGGTCGGCCGGTGCCCGCGCCAGCTTCCCTGCAGTTGCCGCCGCACTCATGCTCTCAGAGTTGCTCGGCGGGCCTGGCAGGGACCGGGTAGAGCCTCCGCACAGCTCCGCTCCTCCCCGAATTCAAACTCCGCGCTGGGAACGTTATAAAAGCCTGCGCGCCACTGATTGGCCGCGGGGATTTAAAATCCAAACCCGCCCGCCGCGCGGCACCATGGGAGTGCTCTGCACGCAGCCGCCTTTAAACCCTTACTCAGCCTGCGAAAAAAACTTGATTGACAGGGACGCACGGACAGCAGACACGTGCGGTATCCTGGGAATTCACGCCCTTGGCATCTCACCGAGACCCAGCCCCAGAAAAGGGGGAATTCGTTCAGGGTTCCTCCCAGTCTTGCGCAGCCCGCAGTTCACCTGCACCTCTCCAGGAAGCTTTCCCTAACACCCTCCCTCCTCTCTCACCCCGCCTCCTAGACCATAAACTCTGAGCAGAGACCCGGTAGCGCCAAGAGGCAGCTTAGGAGAGCCTTAGCACCCACCAACGAAGTCGTCAACTCTCTGCCAAACCATTCAAATAAACTAGAATATAACTAAAACTAGGTTGCTTGTAGGCAAATGCACCTTGATGTCAGGTCCTGAGCCCCTCTGTATTCCAAAGATTACTCAAAGTATGGCCCAGGAATATGCAGTATCACCATCACCTGAGAGCTTGTTAGAGGGGCAGAGGCAAACTTTCAGGCCCAAAGGTCAGCCAGGTGATCTCTTAACTGAAGTCTGAGGAACAGGGTACCAGAGCCTCCCAGGCTGCTAAAATAAATAAGCTGTCTGATCTGCTCCCTGCTGTATTTTCTAGTACACAGGTCAATACACTTTTTTTTTTTTTTTTAATCAGAAGGAGGGGTAGCTGATTGGAAGAATATAACAAACTGGCAAGTCACAACCAAATCCTTCATGCAGGGGTATTTTGTTTGGCTTCGTTTTAAAAATTCCAATTCATTTACAGCATTTAAAAAGACAGTTCATACAAAAGTTCAGATTTGTGACTTTTCCTGAAAAACTCAACTGTAAATTACCCCCTCTGCCATTTGACTGAGTTCTGTACGAACTTGAGTGGTGGGGCCGGCAGGTGGTATGGTGGTTGGGACACCAAACTCCCACATGGCTGATCTCAAACCTGGTGGCTTGCTTTCTCACTTTCCCTCTCTCTGGTCAAATTTAAAAAATAAATAAATAAATAAATAAATAAAATAATTCTTAAAAAAAAAAAGAACTTGAGTAGCAGCTCTAGATGGCAAAATACACAAGATGGAAGCCCTTTTCCCTGTGCCTTCTTAGTGCCCTTGATGACATCTGCAAAAATCACCATGTTATAAGTATCTCTGCCTACCTCCTAATTAAGCTGAGAGACAATGACAACAGTGATGCTCTTTTCTATTTATGTTCCAAATTCCTAGCACAATGCTCTAGAAATAAGGGGTATTAGTAAATGTTTGCTGAATAAAGGATACTCTCTAATCGTTACTATTTTTATCTCTATGTTGTGTTACCTTCTGTTTTAAATTATTGAAATTGAATATATTTACAGAAAGAAGTACATATCATAATTGTACAGTTCACTGAACTTCCACAAACTGAACATACACCCATGTAAACACCATCCAAATTCAGAAAGAGAACACTACCAACAGCCCAGAAGTCCCTCTTATGTTTTTCATTCATATATCCATTTTTTTTGGGAAGCAAGATGCCCTGTGCCAACTCTTCTCACGTTAGGGTCTGAGTCAGAGCGCATAATGAAAGTGGGGGGACCAACTTGCCAGTGAGAATTTGGGAAAGCAAAGAATTAACTGTGTGAGCAGCAAGGATAGTGCACAGCGCTAACTGGATTGGAGCACAAGATACTGGAAGAGCTGACTAAAACATGGACCTTGTAGCCAAGTAAGAGTTGGCTTGGACTCTAGTCCAACCCTTTATTAGATATGTGATGTTGGCCGAATTTGCTTTAACTCTCTAGATATCGATTTCATCTGTAAAATAGGCTGAAAAAAAAAAGACTATACTTTTTGACAGTTGGGAGGATTAAACATTTTCTAATTAATATCTGGCATTCCATAGATGCAAAACAAAGAATAATTTCTCCAACTTTTCTTTGTGGCAGACTGATTATAAAGCCAAAGATTTATTATTATTATTTTTGAGAGATATTTGCTATAGGGCTCATGCGCTTGCCAGAGGGACAGAGAAACAGAACAAGAGAACCCCCCCCCTCCAGGGGGGATGGCCACCCCACAATCCCTTCTTCTCCATTCTCCTCTCAGGATCTTGGGCACACATGTACACATGCCTGGCATGAGTTTTAAGCTACCTGGTCTGGGACTCAAACCACGGTCGACTACATGTGAGTCCAGTGATGTAATCATTATGCCACCTGCTGGTTCCAGATGTTCTTTTATTTCAAAATTTAAAAATGTGTAAGGGGCCAGCCTCATAGTGCAGCAGTTAAGCCCTGTACATAGATAGCCAGATCCCATGTGGTTGACTGAGGCTTGAGTCCCGGCCCCAGCAGCTTGAAAAATATGCCAGGCATGGGTGTGGGCATGCTTGAAATCCTGAGAAGATGGAGAAATAGAAGAAAAACGACTGAAGCATGACATCTCCCCAGTGGAGGGTGCTTTCTCTTTTTCTCTTTCTCCTCCTTTGGCAATAAAAAAAGATGAAAAAAAAATTTTTTTTTTGGAGAGGTTTTTTTTTTTTTTTTTTTGCTATAGGGCACGTGCGCTTGCCAGACAGAGAGAGACATAGAGACAGAAAGTGAGAAATCACCCCCCAGGGGGGATGGTCACGCCGCAATCCCTTCTCCTCCATTCTCCTCTCGGGATCTTGGGCACGCACGCACACGCACCCGGCGTGAGTTTTAAGCCACCGGGTCCGGGACGTGAACTGCGGTTGACTACGTGGGAGTCCAGCGACATAGCCATTACGTTAACTGCTGGTTCCCGAAACAAACAAACAAACATTTTTTTAAAGGTGGAGCAAGCAGGTGGCCAATGCTTAAGGTGTTGGGATTCCCACATGGCCGAGCATGGTTCAAGTCCCAGACCTGGTGGCCTGAAAAAAATCGTGCTAGGTGCATGTACATATATGCCCAAAATCCCAAAAGGAGAATGGAAGAGAAAGAACTGTGGTGTGGCCACCCTCCTGGGGGTTGGGATGTGATATTCTCACTTTCCCACTCTCTGTCTTTATAGCAAAAACCTAAAAAGAAAAAAAAATATCATAACCCCATTGCTGGGGGCGCTAGAAGTGTTTTGGTGATCATGGACTTATGCGAACTAGTCCATTACTGGCAGAATATTTTGCTCTCTGAAATAGTCAGCCCTTTTGACACATTGTCCCAATACGGTCAGCACCATTTCAAGGACCTTGCAGCTCCACAGAAGCTACTCCTAGAAGATCAATCAGTTAAGTGTGACTACTCGGAGCAATCATTCAGGTCTGTTAGATGCCAATTTGTCATGGAAAATGGCGGAGGCCAACCAGAACATGGCTGGGCAACACCCTTTGGCTTTGACCTGCCATTACAGGATACTGAGAAAGACCTTCCTCACCACCAAGACTCTATCTTAAATTTTTTTGTTTGTTTTTTGTTTGTTTTGTTTTTGCTATAGGGCATGTGCACTCACCAGACAGACAGAGAGCGACAGAAAGACAGAAAGTGAGAAATCACCCCCCAGGGGGGATGGCCATGCCACAATCCCTTTTCCTCCATTCTCCTCTCGGGATCTTGGGCATCCACGCACATGCACCCGGCGTGAGTTTTAAGTCACCGGGTCCGGGACGCAAACCGCGGTCAACTACGTGGGAGTCCAGCAACATAGCCATTACGCTAACTGCTGGTCCCAAGACTCTATCTTTATAAATGAACAACTTCCAAGGATGTGCTAAATGGGAGAAATTTTGGTCAGATTAATTTCAGGTCATCACCCAGATGGATCAGTGACCAAGAAAGAATCTGTGGCCTCAGGTTCCCTGAGTGAATTGGTTGATGCAGAAGTGACTAACTCAGAAACTACCATCAACCTCAAGTGATCATAGGGCTCTGTGCAGCCATGCACAACAGGATCCATCAATAGGAGACTCACAAGTCAACCTTGTTCCCTGCACCAGAGATCCTGCAATGTGAGATTTAGCTGGAGCTGGATGCAAGCTAACATCCAGGCAATGACTGAATTAAATATGTGCAAGATAAACATCTCCCACAGGCTAAGGGCAACTTCTTGGTAGCCCATGGCTAGAATGGGCTCAGACAAGAACATAACTACATTTCTATATAGACCTTGACAAAGGCCCATACATATGGTGCTATGAGACCATTAGAAAACAGTTCTAGACAGACTATCCTTCAAATGATTCTGTATTGAACACCACACTTTGGCTAAGCAACATCATCCCTCTACCCTTTAATCAAGGCCCAGGTACCCCTTCAGGAGTACCCTCAGAAGGTACCTCCCAAGACAGAGAGTAATGAGAGATTTGGCAAGGGGTAAGGATGGGCAGGGAGAGAGAGGCAAGTGAAGATAACAAGAAAAAAAGGGAGAGGCCTGAACTAGATAATCTGATGAATTTTTCTGCCCAGTACCTAACCATCTCTTCTTATGGTAATATTACCTCCACCATGAACACCAGACATGGGGTTAGCAGGTGGCATGGTGATTAAGGCACTGGACTCCCACATGGCTTACTGCAGTTCAAGTACTGAAACTGGCAGCTTGTTTTCTCTCTCTTTCTCCAGTGAGTGCATGTGCCCTGTAGCAAATTTTAAAAATAATAATAATGATAAATAAAACTAAATAAATTCTTAAAAAAAAAAAAAAAGCGCAGGGCCAGCAGATGGCATGGTGGTTAAGGCACTGGACTCCAACATGGTCGACCACAGTTTGAGTACCAGATCTG